AAAGTCTCGCCTCGCTTCCGCTTCTCCGCCCTCTTCCGCGCCCCCCAGACTGTAAGGTCGCTTGGAAGGACGTCTACAAAGCCACCAAGATCTCTAATCACAAGGGATATCAAGCGGATCTGCTCCTCACAGCTCCTCCGTCCTCCACTTGTCCTGCGTGCTCTGCAAGGCGGAGTTCTCCCTGTACGAACCCCAGGAGCTCTTGAGCGCGACGGCCTTGAAGTCAAAGGTGATGCCCTGGTCGTTGGTTCCCGTGCCGCGGGAGAGGACGATGCCGTCGAGGGGCTTGTCGGTGAAATAGAGCATGGTGCCAGCCTCGACGCCACCGTTGACGTAGACCTCGAGGACGGAGCGGTCGAGAATGCCGTGCAGCTGAAACTCGACGTTGCCGCTGGAGCCCTCGCTTGAGGCAGCCTCGAGGGCCTGGACGTTGGAGACGCCAAAAGTGCCGGACCTATCCCACACTGCGCTGGCGCGACCAATGTTGAGGCTGGCGATGGGTGCCCCGCTGTTGGATGTGCCAGTGAAGTCAAAACCGAGGGAGACTTGCTCCGTGCCGTTGGACTGAGAGCCCTGGAAAGCCAGCTGAGCTGAGGCCGTCGAGCCTTCTTGGAGGAGAGACTTGGCCATCTTGACGGTCAAGGTCCACTCAACGGCCGGGTTGTAGTCGCGGATGACGGCGCTGCTGCCCTGAATGCCCGACACGTCCTTCTCGTCAAGAATGGGGTTCCAGCCGGACGTCGTGCTCGCGAGCTTGGACAGGTCGCCGGCCGGCGCTGACATGAGTCGGTTGGTGTTGGAGTCCAGCCAGTGGCGGCGCACACCACCCATGCAGTGACGCCATCCCTCTTGGTCGGTCGGCGTGCAGCACCCATAGAGCGTAGCGTCGACCGCCCATGAGACGGAGTATGCATCTTGGTTGGCGTCGTTGAGATTCTGGAAATGGAAGAAGGCGGTGGCGTACTTATCAGGGCCAAAGTCAAAGTCGTAGATGGAGAAGGTGTCCTGGCGCGAGAAGATTCCTCTCCGCGAGCCGAGGCTGGCGGGCACATCTGGGGTGAAGGTGGTGCCGTCCCACTCGCCGGTGATGTACTTGACTGCAGCACCGCCAGTCGGGCCGCCGCCTCCCAGGCTGAGAGTCAGAACCCATTTGGCGCCCACGATGCTTCCAGACTTGTCCTTGCGGGGGATCTGGAGGAATTGGGGGCACTCAATGAGGCCAATGTTGCGCTGAGGATTCCAGATGGATGACTGCGTCCAGTTGACTAAGTTGGTGGAGGTGTAGAAGGCGACTTCACTCTCGAGGGAAAGGACCATGACCCAGGTGTTGGTCTCATGGTGGAACGAGGGCTTGGGGTCGCGGAATCCGTGTCTGTTGAGCGAAATGATCGGGTTGTTCTCGTACTGGTTGAAAGTCTCGCCGCCATCGTATGACCATGCAAGATGCTGGGATTCCTGATCAGGCTCCCATGAGGTATAGTAGGCAATGATGTTGTCCTTTCCGCTTGTCTTGTCAGACGGGAAGAAGCCAGACGTGTTATTCTTGTCGACGACGACGCTTCCTGACCAGATGGAGCCATCGCGCGCAGTGGCGGGAATGGCAACAGGATGGTCAACCCAATTGTAGAATTCGGTGGCCGTCGTGTGGCCCCAGTTCTTCACGCCATCGCCCGCGACGTTGTCGGCATCTGAGTCAAAATAGTCAGCGGTCAAGTTCTGAAGATGTTTAAAACATTAAAGCCAGGCCAAGCTTGGCATAGTCTAATCGAAGCAGTGACACATGGCATGCCAGATTGAGATGCATCGCAGGGAGAAGAACATGTAATTACGGCAAGGTAGGTAGGGTAGGGAGAGCATGCGGTGTGTCTCATTCCGCGCCAAAATGCGGGGGTGGAATTGCAACGCTCATCATCGCGCATGTGATGTTTCCGTCTTTGGCAGAGGCGCAACCCTCACGCCAACGGGAACTAGCACGTGTGCAGAATGCAGATCCAATGAAACGGGCAGAATGGCGCGCCATTGACATTGCACAAGGCAAACATTGGTAACCGCTCGCCCGGAACCTGCGCAATGTGTTGCACAACTCAAAACCGGTAACCGCGGCTTTGGGAGGTGTTTCCAGCACGGTACTTTGCGTTTGGGGAGTTGGGGAATAGGTGGATTGAAATGGGTAGGGGAAAAGGCGGCAATGGAAAAGACTCACATTGGTAGTACATGTGCCAGACACCGTCCGAGTCGACAAAGAGGCCGTTTGGGTCATTAAGCCATTCGGCGGGTGGTGAGAAGTGAATTTGGGGCCGCCAGCGGCCGGATCTGTCGGCTGCTTGTCTCGCCATGATTGCTGCTGGAGATTCGGGGTCTATTGAGCGTTTGAGGTCTGATGAGAAATGGGCGCGTTCTGCATCGGAGAAGAAGCCGGGCAGAGCGTATGACGGTGCTGCGAGCAGTGTCGACAGAAGCGATGTGTAGAAGAGATGCTGCCTCATGGTTGCGAGAGTTCGGCTCCCCGGTCCTTAAGAGAGAACCACCTGAGCAGTGTCAAGGTTTCGGCCAAACGGTGCGGCGGCGGGTAAGGGGGTGCTGTTCCCTGATCGACAGACTTCGGATGGGGGTGAGTAGCGCAGCGTGTCAGCTTAAAGGTAGAGTGACTTTAGGACGAAGCTTGCGTAAAGGTAATTCAATGGACTGTAAGTCTGAGGCACAAAAAGGCAAGGTAGTTCAACTGAGAGGGAACACCAAGAAGTCCGGGGGTGAGACAATATGGGGGAAGAGAGAGAAGGTATAGTTCTTCGTTCACGAACGAGCTAGAGAAGAGCGGGAAAAGAAATGACGGATCTGGAGCGAGGACAGCGGGTATTTAATCACGAAGAAGCAAACGAAGGTGAATCAAACCTCGGGAGGTGTCTCTCACAACATGCAGTAGGTAGCCCACAGCCAAACAGCAAGCAGTAGACAGGAAAAAAAGGAAGAAAAAAACGGCAACGGCGAACTAGTCGCAGTGACATTGGCTTAGCTTGGCCTCCGCTGGCTGAGTAGCGGTTGCACCAGCGTCGGGGCAAGTCAATGGCAGGCCGCAGCGGCAGACTGACGAACAGGATGTCCAGTGCCATCATCTCAACTGGGCTGCTTGCTGCCAAAGAACAGAGGGGTACTTCGTACTTCCCACGAACGGAATCATGGCACTGGACGCCAAGGACGCAATGGGGAAGGGGCCATCGCACACCATGCGTCCAAGACTGGTCTCATGACTCTCTGTCTGGTTGGCAGGTGGCTGGCTCTCGTGGCCTCCTTTTTTCTGCACTCGTTCGCAAACCACGGCTTACACCCCGCGCCAAGTTGGCCCATCTCCAACTTTTTTTTCCTTCTAGAAAGTTGGGGTAAGGTAGCCCTCAGGGGGATCTGTGCCCCCCCCAACTTGCGGTAAACAACGCTAGATTGTGTTACCATAAAAGGGAGTGTGCGTGAGAGAAAGAGAAGGGAGAACAGGCATGGTGTGAGGTGAACCACCAGCTGATTGATTGTGAATTCAACTTCAACCCCACCAAAACAGCTATTCCAAAGCGGCCGGCGGTACGGATAGGGACCGGGACTGCATCGTACGCCCCGGACTGGCAAAGAGGGCCCGTTCCCGTCCCTACTTTCCCCGGATTTCCATTGGTCATGTGGCCAGGATTTGCGATGCTTGCATTGTTGAAGGCGGTCTAGCGTTGGGCTGATCAACTTGGATTGTTGTGACGTTCTGCAGCGATTTTCCATGATGGAACCATGTATCTGGGGAACGGATGCGGGGGTTGATTGTTTACTGCCTTTCGACGGGGACAATGCGCTCAGATTTCTCAATGTTCCATCAAGAAACAACAATAGAGGAAGAAAACAATGACCATGTGAGCGACCTAATCTTGGCTCTCCGAAGTAACGTCGGTGAAGCTGAAGTCATTGAATGGCATGTGGATGAGACAGAAAGACAATGACCGAGGAAGGTGTTGATGAGGGGGAACTGGCAAACAGGAATCGCTTTCCTCCGGGCACCTCAGTGTTCGAGATGCGGGGCTCAAAAAGTGGGTGGCCTCTGCCCCTCATCACGTAAGCATTCGTATTACCTAAGTTAAGTTGTCAAGGGAGGACATTGAAACAAAGAAGGGAAACTGCCCCTCATTCACGCTGGGAAAGAACAATGTTTGGCAAGGTCACAGACCAAGGCGGAAAGGACTTTCCTTTCCATTCCTCCTGCCGTTTCCCACGTTGCTCGTGACTTTCAACAGACTTATTTTTGCGGAAGCCAAGACGGACCGGAAGGCAACCTATGGGCCAGTCTGAAGTGACGCTGTTTGTCTCGGCTGCTCTTTGCTCCGACAGTTTGCCCTCCTGAAAGATGGCCGCATTGTCAACATCGTTCCCAAGCGCCGTCTGACTCCTTTGCGCGCATGTCCACACCATTTCTTCAAATTCTCAACGTCACAACTGCTACACTCCAAGTACTCCGTCATCCTACCCTGCCCTACTCGAACCATCAGACCGCCAGATCGTGAACGCCTTTTGGTGTGTATCATCTCACATCTGCCCATCTTCCGGTCTCCCCTCTACCCAGGATATGTCCACCCTAATTTGTGGCCGAGGAACCTTTGAGAGATATCTTCTAGATCACCTGTCGACCAACAAGGTGCAACGGCGCGCGAGATCTCAGCAAGACATGGATCGACACCGAGTCAGAGACATGGCGCCCACGCGATGCCGGCCCTAACCGCAACTTTCACCTCCAAACCTGTACCACCCGAGTCATGATGCTCAAGTCACCAGCACTTGGCACTTGTTCTTACGTTACTTCAAATATGCATCGCAAGTCTCTTCAGGCCACGAGGCAGCGGTGATCTTTTGTCCGTCTCTCTCTCCGTCTTGCCAGCGCTGCCTACGTCAAGCATCACGGTTGTGGATGACGATATTTGCTGCCCTCACATATCACATCTTGCATCGCCACGAGACAACGACAACACTCGCATCGCATGCGATGCAACGTCCGAGCGAGACTAGCATGGCATTTGCTGACTATCATTACAAACAAAGCGAGGCTTCATGGCCATGCCCACGTTCGTGCCGGCCCAACTTCGGCATCCGACTGTGTTGCCAGAGTCACCGGCCCAGGAACATGTCCAGACGTTACATTAGACGCAAGACCCTTGACAGCCTGGTCTCTTGTTGGCCGCTGGGCATGGCAGTCATTGACACCACATGTGCTCCCCCGCCTTTCTGGCTTTTGGCTCGACTACCACGTGACGAACATCCCCCTCAGCTTTTGAGTTTCGGTGCATTCAAAACCTCTACTGTTGCCAGGTCCCCTTGAAAGAAAAATCATCAATAGAATCGCCAACTCTGGAACCTCGTGGAGCAGAGGAATGCAGCCGAGGCGTCTCTCCTTGTAGGGCCGCCGTCTTCGCCGCCCTGTACGATGACACGCCACGGTCAGTCTAGACTTGGTCGTTTTACTTGAATCAATGAAGCTGCTACCACAACAACTTCATGACTCTCGTCAACATCTTCAAGCCAGCCGTTCACGCGCCCTCGGCTTTCCTCATTTGGAAGTCTTCCGGCCAAGCAGTCGTGAGGGTTCTGCTGCTGCCCGTCGTCCGCTACCATCGAGCATCGTGGTGGGGACCCGGATGCTTAGCTTCAAGACTTAGCATTAAGATGCGCACTATTGATGGGCCTGTGGACGGAGCCGCAGATGTTGCTGCCCACGCGGCCTGGCCTAGACTTGTCTGCAGTCGGAATGCTCAAGGAATACGATCCAGTCTCGCATGTGGCGCTATTTGCGAACATTCCCTTGATCATGATTTTTACTAACAGCGCAAAGCTCGCGATATTTCCTGCGGCTGGGTCAGCTTCGCATTAACTAGCAGTCATCTAGTACGCTCCGTTCTGGAGAATGTGCCGAGGAAATACTGGAGGCGGAGCCCAATGCCAAGAGGCCATCGGCGGAAGATGGCCGCGTCGAGATTATCAGATGAGCTTGATTCATGCCAGGGGCAAGGCGAAGCGAACGACCAATGACGTGCGTATTTTGATCAGGCTAGCACTTGAGGTTGTCGCTAACGTAGGTAGTCGTTGAAGAAAAGGGTGCTCTCGGGCAGAAGCCGTTGAAAGGTATGATGGGATGGAATTCCGACCATCTGGTTGAGCTGCAGACTTGTGCTCTATCAGTTTTCTCTAATCTTTGGAACCTTACTCTTGTCTTCGGTTCCATCATCTTGGATATTGTGTCCTTGAGAGCACTTTCCGTCACGAAGGAGTATCGCTGCGGCTCCTTGGTAGTCTGGTCTCGTGCCCCCCTTCTGCCCAAAAGCTCGGTGAGAGATGACATTGAAGGATGGGTTGGGCGAATAATGGCGCGCCAAAACTAAGGTTGAGCGGAGCCCAACGTGTGAGTGCTGGGCAGATATGCAGGTTGCCCAAACCGACCAACGGCGAGCCCCAGTTCGATGTTCCGATCATCTCCAATTGGCTCATCTTCACTCCAACATGCTCCAATATGCTGCCCACCCTGCGTTATCAGAACCAATGCCAGTCTTTGCTAGCGAATGGTAGCCACTGCTAGCCTCTAAACTTTTGAGGCCCCCTCCTCTCCGATGCACCGCCCCGCCGTGTCCGCCAGATCCAGCACGTCGAATCTGCGCTCACTTTACTTAAGTATCGCCACGGCCCGGCTCCTTGTCCGTGAGTCAAAAAGGTCTCGACTCTCCGCTTTCCCCCACGTCTGCAAATCCTTGACTCCCGAGAAACCCGGAACATTCAATCCCGCCACCCCGCGCCGCCATCAGCCTCATCCCGAGAAGCTTGTCTGAATCTAGCAACCCGGACGTAACTCAATCTCCATTTATATAACCTCGACCGTTATCCCATCTCATCTCAACTACTTCCCGCTCTCGGACCTCGACAGCAATCCAAACTAGATACTCCAAGCAAACCGCTTCTGGAGAATCATCTCAACCTCACATCACATACCTAACGGAATGGCCCGATAGCATCCCCACGCTCCAACCTCAACTGCTCGTCACAAAACACCAATACCTTTTTGGTAGCCTCCCCGGAGAATCATCTTCTATTCTGAGAGCCGCATGCGGGGAATTTCCCCGCCTACTCTTTGACTCGGTCAAAGCACCCTTACACCCCAGGGCTCGCTGTTGCCTTTGGATCTGTTAACCGCTTAACCGTCCTCCCCATTTCCGACGACCCTCCCCCCCTTTCGAACGGGTCGGTCTAAGCCTTGATCATCGGATCAGGTCTTCAACACTTCTCACCCAGGAAAACCCTCCCACTCTGCCACGGTGGCGTTCTATCTAGACACCAATATACAACCCAACCTTGTTGACTCTTGTTATTGCGTGTTACTCGGAAACACAATTTGCTACTGCGAAACCTACTCCGACCAGACGACGACTTCCATCTTGAAACTAGATTCGGTCGACGATCCACCTATTCCACCTCCTCCGATCATCGGCTTGTTGCCGTGTTCATCATGGAGATCACCTATGGCACTTGGTGTCATGGAGTGTCCACTCGACACCCCCTCCTATTCTTCGGAAACGCTGAGCCCGACTCGAAGCCCCCTAAACCCCGGGAACGAAAATGAAAGCGATAAAGCCAGCGACAGCGGGTTCAGCAACGGCGTCGCGACGCCCGCTGCCGCCGGTATCGACATTTCGCGACTACGTTTTGAATGCCGTTGGCAAAACTGTGGCAAGGTCTTTCGCAGACCTAGTGATTTGACGTAAATTTCACCTATACTTTTCTTACTTTTGTCCCATCACCTACGAAACCCCACTCTCTCCTCTCCGTCTCTTGATCAGGAATGACAAGAGACTGGAGAATCTTTCATCAAACTTCACACACATGGTGAGAAAATCTATGAAACTAACATCCAATCTCTCATCAGCAAACATGAGAGGTACCACATCAAGGAGTACCTCTGCGACAAAGCAAACTGCGACAAGGCCTTTGCGACCATGAAGGACCTGAAGCGGCACAAGAAGACGCACGAGACGCTCGACGGCGACGGCGCGGGCGGGGGCTACAGGTGCCGCGTCCCCGGTTGCCGAAAGGCGAAGACGGGACACGTGTACAACCGCCGCGACAACTTTGTCCGTCACCTGCGGACCAAGCATGTGGGCATGGAATTTGATGTCAGGGAGGAGTTTGATGTGACGTACTGAGAGATGTGCGTTGCGTGGTGGTGTGTGTGTGGAGAGCGGATTAGGTGCAGAATGAAAGGGTAGTAAGGGGTTTAGGAAATGGGGAGGCCGGGGATGCCTTTTTGTTGCTTCTTTTTGCGGCTTCGCAACTTCTTTTTTGGTTCGTTTTACTTGCGATGTGGGTATGATCTACGCAACCAGGCAACAGATTCAACTGTTTTTTTTTTCTTTCCTTTTTCTTCTTGGTAATTTCCAAATTTGGGTTCGGGATGGGCTGCTTCGTTTCACAAGCTGCTGAACCAGACAAGGAAGCGTTATAGACTTGGGAGGGTATTTTCGATTTTTCATGGGATTGTTGGACATTTTATACCTTTTGTTCATGAAATCATGCGATGGACTTAGGATGGAACACAACCCGACGGCTGATTTATGATCCGGGGCCTGAGATGAGTGGTTTCTAGTAGCGAGGAGGAATATAATGATGCACAAAATATCTGTCCTGGGCTTGACTGCGCTTCGTTCTTGTGATGTTGATGCGTGGATGAGATGTTCTTGGCTGGCCTTGGCGGCCGGTTTGATTACCTATTCTAAGCTTTGGAGGGAAACAGTGCCGAATTCGTAGAACAAGACAGGCAGATCTTGATAAACTCAATTATCGAGCTTTACTCACTGTGAGTTGTCAGGTTAGTATCAAAAATTCTTGAGAAGATACCGAAACGAGTAAAAACCGAAGGCCTGCCCCTCGCAGCCCCAAGACCAGTAGCATACCTTTCTCCCGGGATCCTGGGGGAACGTGACTGCAACGGAACTTTCAGATTTTTCTTGTAGACTGTCAACGAGTATCCTAACCATTTAGCAAGCATACCGGGTCCATTGAATGCCGCTGTCTAGTCTGTCTTGCTACAGTGATTGGAGTTGAAGATCAGGCATCACTGCACTCGGGCCCTCGATATACGTGGGAGATAAGTCCCATCCGTGCTCTGTCTTTCGCGACGACCTCCCCATATGCCGATTACAAGGTGAGCAGATACAGACGCTGGTTGGACACCGAGATCATTGAAACGGGGTATGTCACTCTTTACTTTCTTCGTCTCTGGCGCGATGTATACATTGCTGGAGCACAAGTTCATTCACTACTATCTTGGAAAGTCTCCATTGCAATCTTTCACCCTGACGGAAACAAGCCTAGCGTGGTTTTACATACAGTCCATCAAATGAAGACTCCGTCACATCTTGATTCGAGCCTAGAATTGATAGCCTGCTCTTTGAAGCCCTGAAATAATTCCAAGGATCAATGCGAAAAGTTCGTACTATTAGATCTTCAACCTAATAGCACAGTCACTAAAACGGTAGCTGAAAATTTTCATGAGATGAGATCAGGACTGGATCGGGAAATTATTTTGTAACCATAGGATAATGATTCAACACTGTTGCTAATATCGTCTCTCATTAGAAAAAGCCGACACCCTTTCGTCATCATTGGCAAAGGCTGGGACCCGGGAGGGAGGCTGAGACATTCTCAAAGATGAAATTGAGTCAAGCGGATGGCAAAACAAAAGAGCTTGAATCCGTCGATGAACCTTGCGATCTCGTTCTCAGCAGCCGTATGTAGATTTCCAAGACAGCTTCGACCCCAGCTGTTCGTCCTGGTCACAGCCCGCCGAATATTCCCAGAAAAGTGCAGTTCATAACAGACCTCATCTCCTCAGAGATGATGGGTTTCTTGCAGTACCACCATAAAGGTCATTACCGGCGTGTCCTCAGGCACTTTTGAGAGGTTTGCATTTCTGCTTTTCCACCGGATTATACTTCCATATATATACAGATCGCTGCTTTTGGGAGTATAAGGCGCAGTGAGACTTACTTTTGTGTTGGTATGACCCTTGCACATTGGGCCATCATCTTGTATCGCTTCCAGAAAAGCCAGCGTGTAAGCTGTTCGATGACTCGCATCTCAATTTCGGGGATTCCGAACCAGTGTCTCCGCATCAAATGGCAACAAAGACCGTCGAGTGAAGCGTCCTCTCACGAAGCGTTGGTGGGCAATAGGTCATCAACGTGTACCATCCACTAAGGGAGGTAGGAGGATGTCCACTTCTCAAGCGTTTATG